GAAATTGCTGTTGTTTAAGCCACTCAGTGTGTGAGACTTCGTTATGGCAGCCCCAGCAAACTGATACAGAGGGTGCCTGCTTCCATTCCGGCAAATTAGGCAGATTCCCGCCATACCAAGTATCCACAGCTACCTTCTTTCCAGCTCTGAAAAGGAGTTTTTTAAATTTGAGATGAAGTCTCATTCTGTTGTCTAGGCGGGAGTGCAGTGGTGTGATTTCACTATAACCTCTGCTCCCCAGGTTTAAGCAATTCTCCTGCCTCAGCCTCCCAGGTAGCTGGGACTACAAGTGCCTGCCACCACACCTGGCTAATTTTTTGTGTGTTTTTAGTAGAGACAGGGTTTCACCATCTTGGCCAGGCTGATCTTGAACTCCTGACCTCGCGATCCACCCCCCTCGGCCTTCCAAAGTGCTGGGATTACAGGCATGAGCCACTGCGCCCGGCTTGGAAAGATTTTATAGAGAAGTCACCCACCCACCTACCAACCCAACAGATGGTATTCAGCATGTCCTAACTTAGCAAGTCCCAAATTTAAGGCAAACCCTATGCCTTGCCCTCCTCCTTCTTGCTCCCCCATGGTATTCAAGGTCTGAGGTCCTGTAGGGACAAGGCATTCAAAAGCATTGAGTTCCAAATAAGAAAGGCATTCCGTTTCCAACTGTCCTTCAGTGCTCTTCAGCAACAAAAGGAGAAAATCTCAGTGTGGTGCTAGAATGCCTTAACTCCTAACATGTGGCAATTTCCCTTTTTTTTTTTTTTTTTAACAAAAAGGAGTAGATCTTGGGCTAAGAGCCTTGGCAGACAGTATCATCTTGCTAGAATGTAATGACTGTTTGGCATGGGATTGCTTTTATTTTTCCAGTTATTTGTGATTTCTGTCAAATGGCACTGGTTTTTCCATTTATGATTGTAAATAAAGTTTCCTTTAAAAATGTATTTGAGAGGCCAGGCACGTGGCTCATGCCTGTAATCCCATCACTTTTGGAGGCAGAGGTGGGCAGATCACCTGACATAAGGAGTTCGCGACCAGCCTGGCCAACATGGCAAAACCCCATTTCTACCAAAAATACAAAAATTAGCCAGGCGTGGTGGCACATGCCTGATGTTTTGCCATCTGGGCTCTTACTGACCTCAGGGAGACTGCTGACGTTGGGAAAAGCAGTCTGGCAGTTTACAAAGGCTTTTCTTCCGCACTATTTCAAACGGGATGCCATTGGGCAAGTTACTGAAAATCTCTCTAAACCTTAGTTTTCTAATCTTTAAATGGTAGACATACTAGTACCTACTCACAGGGTTTTGAGGGGACCGAATGGGCACAGTGGCTCCCTCCTGTAATCCTAGCACTTTGGGAGTCTGATGAAAAGCAATTGTCATCTACCATGGCATTAAAAAAAATGTGTTTGATTTAAAAAAAAAGGCAAATAATAAAAAAATTAAGTAGGTAATAGTGCATGTGAAAGGTCGCTATACCAAAAATTAGGTAGGCTGGTGTACAATAGACTAAAACTTGGGAAACATGTTCCTCCCCTCACCTCTACCACTGTCCCTAACATATAGTCTTTTCTATCATTATATTATCTTGTAAAACTCATCATCAAAGGCAATATTCTCCTAAAGCCACAAAGGTTAGAACTGTAATAACCATGGGGAAAAAAAGATATGTACTTTTGATTGTGCTTATTCATGATTTATCGACAAAAATCTCAAAGGCCCAGAAGTCGTAATGGTAATTTCTTTTTTTTTTTTCTTTTTGAGACAGAGTGTTGTGTTGTCTCCCAGGCTAGGGCATGATCTTGGTTCACTGCAACCTCCGCCTCCCTGGTTCAAGCTATTCTCCTGCCTCAGCTTCCCAAGAAGCTGAGATTACAGGCACGTGCTACCATACCCAGCTAATTTGTATTTTTAGTAGAGTCAGGGTTTCACCAAGTTGACCAGGCTGGTCTTGAACTCCTGACCTCCAGTGATCTGACCGCCTCGGCCTTTCAAAGAGCTGGGGTTATAGGCATGAGCCACCATGCGTATTTAATCCTCTCAAAAACCCTGTGAGTAGGTATCTCTACCATTTAAAGATTAGAAAACTAAGGTTTAAAAAGTGTTTATGTAACTTGTCCAATGACATCCTAGTTGAAATAATGTGGAAGAAAGGCTTTTTGTAAACTGCCAAATTGCCAGGTGACATAGCAGCATGCAAATATATCACCTAAACTACCGAAAAAGGTCCTCACTGTCTTCTAAAAAAAAACTCATTAACACTGAGTTATTTGCAGACAGCCAAATCACCCAGGGCAGCTTTAAAGAGTCAGAAAATAAAACACTCTTCCATTGTATGACATATTGGCATTTGCAAAGCAATTTTCTTTTTTTTCCTTTTTTTTTTTTTCTGAGATGGAGTTTTGCTCTTGTTGCCCAGGCTGGAAAGCCATGGTACAATCATCTCTGCTCATTGTAACCTCCACCTCCCAGATTCAAGCAATTCTCTTGCCTCAGCCTCCCGAGTAGTTGGGATTACAGGCATGCACCACCATACCCGGCTAATTTTTTGTATTTTTAGTAGAGACAGAGTTTCTCCATGTTGGCCAGGCTGGTCTCAAACTCCTGACCTCAGGTGATCTGCCCACCTCAGCCTCCCAAAGTGCTGGGATTACAGGCGTGAGCCACCGTGCCTGGCCTGCAAAGCGGTTTTCATCTACCATGGCATTTAATCCTCAACATGATTCGAAGGCAGCTGTTATATTCATTTACATATGAGACTGAGGCTCAGACAAGCACAGTGATCTCCGTGAGTGGCAGAGCCAGCCTCAGAATTCAGTTTATGCAATTCCAAATCCAACGCTTTCAAATTAGCAACACCCCATCAGATGGAGCCTGGAAACGTGATTCACCATACAGAATTCTGGTGTTAATTGAATCGTGTTAAAATAAATAAGGAAAAGTAAGGCAGGAAGATTGCATGAGCTCAGGAAGTTGCAGCTGCAGGGAGCCATGATCACGCCACTGCACTCCAGCCTGAGCAACAGAGTGAGACCCTGTCTCAAAAATAAATAGGCTGAGCATGGTGGCTCACACCTATAATCCCAGAATTTTGGGAGGCTGAGGTGGGTGGGTCACGTGAGGCCAGAGGCTCAAAACCAGTATGGCCAAAATGGTGAAACCCTGTCTCTACTAATGCAAAAATTAGCCAGGTGTGGTGGTGCATGCTTGTAGTCCCAGCTACTTGGGAGGCTGAGGCAGGAGAACTGATGGAACCTGGGAGATGGAG